ACGTACATGTGTCTCACACATTGAAGGTACACACAGAGACACACTAGACACGTACATGTATCTCACACACTTAAGGTACACAGAGAGAGAGAGAAACTAAACACGTACATGTGTCTCACACATTGAAGGTACACACACACAGAGACACACTAGACACGTACATGTATCTCACACACTTAAGGTACATACAGAGAGCGACACTAGACACGTACATGTATCTCACACACTGAAGGTACACACAGAGAGACACACTAGACACGTACATGTATCTCACACACTGAAGGTACACACAGAGAAACACACTAGACACGTACATGTATCTCACACACTGAAGGTACATACAGAGAGCGACGCTAGACACGTACATGTATCTCACACACTGAAGGTACACACAGACAGACACACTAGACACGTACATGTATCCCACACACTGAAGGTACACACAGAGAGACACACTAGACACGTACTTGTATCTCACACATTGAAGGTACACACACACAGAGACACACTAGACACGTACATGTATCTCACACACTGAAGGTACACACAGAGAGCGACACTAGACACGTACATGTATATCACACACTGAAGGTACACACAGACAGACACACTAGACACATACATGTATCTCACACACTGAAGGTACACACAGAGAGACACACTAGACACGTACATGTATCTCACACACTGAAGGTACACACAGAGAGACACACTAGACACGTACATGTATCTCACACACTACAGGTACACACAGAGAGACACACTAGACACGTACATGTATCTCACACACTGAAGGTACACACAGAGAGACACACTAGACACGTACATGTATCTCACACATTGAAGGTACACACAGAGACACACTAGACACGTACATGTATCTCACACACTGAAGGTACACACAGAGAGACACACTAGACACGTACATGTATCTCACACATTGAAGGTACACACAGAGACACACTAGACACGTACATGTATCTCACACATTGAAGGTACACACAGAGACACACTAGACACGTACATGTATCTCACACATTGCAGGAGCACACACACAGAGACACACTAGACACGTACATGTATCTCACACAATAAAGGCGTAAACACAGAGAGACACACTAGACACGTAGATGTATCTCACACATTGCAGGAGCACACACACAGAGACACACTAGACACGTACATGTATCTCACACATTGAAGGTACACACAGAGACACACTAGACACGTACATGTATCTCACACATTGCAGGAGCACACACACAGAGACACACTAGACACGTACATGTATCTCACACATTGAAGGTACACACAGAGACACACTAGACACGTACATGTATCTCACACATTGCAGGAGCACACACACAGAGACACACTAGACACGTACATGTATCTCACACAATAAAGGCGTAAACACAGAGAGACACACTAGACACGTAGATGTATCTCACACATTGCAGGAGCACACACACAGAGACACACTAGACACGTACATGTATCTCACACATTGAAGGTACACACAGAGACACACTAGACACGTACATGTATCTCACACATTGCAGGAGCACACACACAGAGACACACTAGACACGTACATGTATCTCACACATTGAAGGTACACACAGAGACACACTAGACACGTACATGTATCTCACACATTGAAGGTACACACAGAGACACACTAGACACGTACATGTATCTCACACACTGAAGGTACACACAGAGAGACACACTAGACACGTACATGTATCTCACACATTGAAGGTACACACAGAGACACACTAGACACGTACATGTATCTCACACATTGAAGGTACACACAGAGACACACTAGACACGTACATGTATCTCACACATTGCAGGAGCACACACACAGAGACACACTAGACACGTACATGTATCTCACACAATAAAGGCGTAAACACAGAGAGACACACTAGACACGTAGATGTATCTCACACATTGCAGGAGCACACACACAGAGACACACTAGACACGTACATGTATCTCACACATTGAAGGTACACACAGAGACACACTAGACACGTACATGTATCTCACACATTGCAGGAGCACACACACAGAGACACACTAGACACGTACATGTATCTCACACATTGAAGGTACACACAGAGACACACTAGACACGTACATGTATCTCACACATTGCAGGAGCACACACACAGAGACACACTAGACACGTACATGTATCTCACACAATAAAGGCGTAAACACAGAGAGACACACTAGACACGTAGATGTATCTCACACATTGCAGGAGCACACACACAGAGACACACTAGACACGTACATGTATCTCACACATTGAAGGTACACACAGAGACACACTAGACACGTACATGTATCTCACACATTGCAGGAGCACACACACAGAGACACACTAGACACGTACATGTATCTCACACATTGAAGGTACACACAGAGACACACTAGACACGTACATGTATCTCACACATTGAAGGTACACACAGAGACACACTAGACACGTACATGTATCTCACACATTGCAGGAGCACAAACACAGAGACACACTAGACACGTACATGTATCTCACACATTGCAGGAGCACACACACAGAGACAGCCTAGACACGTAAATGTATCTCACACATTGAAGGTACTCACAGAGACTCACTAGACACGTAAATGTATCTCACACATTGCAGGAGCACACACACAGAGACACACTAGACACGTACATGTATCTCACACATTGCAGGAGCACACACACAGAGACAGCCTAGACACGTAAATGTATCTCACACATTGAAGGTACACACAGAGACACACTAGACACGTACATGTATCTCACACATTGCAGGAGCACACACACAGAGACACACTAGACACGTACATGTATCTCACACATTGCAGGAGCACACACACAGAGACACACTAGACACGTACATGTATCTCACACAATAAAGGCGTAAACACAGAGAGACACACTAGACACGTACATGTATCTCACACATTGCAGGAGCACACACACAGAGACACACTAGACACGTACATGTATCTCACACATTGAAGGTACACACAGAGACACACTAGACACGTACATGTATCTCACACATTGCAGAAGCACACACACAGAGACACACTAGACACGTACATGTATCTCACACATTGAAGGTACTCACAGAGACACACTAGACACGTACATGTATCTCACACATTGCAGGAGCACACACACAGAGACACACTAGACACGTACATGTATCTCACACATTGCAGGAGCACACACACAGAGACACACTAGACACGTACATGTATCTCACACATTGCAGGAGCAGACACACAGAGACACACTAGACACGTACATGTGTCTCACACATTGCAGGAGCACACACACAGAGACACACTAGACACGTACATGTGTCTCACACATTGCAGGTACACACAGAGACACACTAGACACGTTCATGTATCTCACACATTGAAGGTACTCACAGAAACTCACAAGACACGTAGATGTATCTCACACATTGCAGGATCACACACACAGAGACACACTAGACACGTACATGTATATCACACATTGCAGGTACACACAGAGACACACTAGACACGTACATGTATCTCACACATTGAAGGCACTCACAGAGACACACTAGACACGTACATGTATCTCACACATTGAAGGTACACACAGAGACACACTAGACACGTACATGTATCTCACACATTGAAGGTACACACAGAGACACACTAGACACGTACATGTATCTCACACATTGCAGGAGCACACACACAGAGACACACTAGACACGTACATGTATCTCACACATTGCAGGAGCACAAACACAGAGACACACTAGACACGTAAATGTATCTCACACATTGCAGGTGCACTCACTCAGAGACACACTAGACACGTACATGTATCTCACACATTGAAGGTACACACAGAGACACACTAGACACGTACATGTATCTCACACATTGCAGGAGCACAAACACAGAGACACACTAGACACGTAAATGTATCTCACACATTGCAGGTGCACTCACTCAGAGACACACTAGACACGTACATGTATCTCACACATTGAAGGTACACACAGAGACACACTAGACAGATACCGGCGATACATATACTAGACAGTTACCAAGTCATAAATTAATTATGCACACACTGAAGGCAACCAAGATAGATACCGACGACACATAAACTTGACAGCTACCAAGTCACATATTAATTATGCACACACTGAAGACACACCAGATAGCTACCGGTGACACATACACTAGACAGTTACCAAGTCACAAATTAATTATGCACATACTGAAGGCAACCCAGATAGACACCGGCGATACATATACTAGACAGTTACCAAGTCACAAATTAATTATGCACACACTGAAGGCACACCAGATAGACACCGGCAACACATATACTTGACATTTACGAAGTCACAAATTAATTATGCACATACTGAAGGCAACCCAGATAGATACCGGTGACACATATACTAGACTGTTACTAATTCATACACTAAATATACACAAGCGGCACACACTAAATAGGCAACAAAACCACACATGAACTGTACACAGAAGACAAAAACCATCTAGACATCGAAATCACACATTGAAGTCTCCAACGAATTACAGAATCTACATGTTCGTGAGGTTTTTTGTCAACTCGATCGTTATATTATCGGATTTATTTGTTTCATATTACTTCTAAAGGACATTAAATGATAGACATATTTCCATCATTTTGAGAAAGTACACAGCTCATTGGTCCTAGAAATATTCATTACTATCTTACCAGCCTGAGGTCTTTTTCTCTGTCGAAGGAATTTAACTCCATATATCAGTGGTCTGAAACTGTAAAACTAGATTGCTCGTTGCACTTGCCCATTGGTAATATTCCTAAGATTGCAGGACCAGTTGTCTGAGACGGCAGAGGTGAGGGGGAGACACGAGAGAACACATGTGACCACTACCAGACTAATTAACCCGTTATCGACTATGAAGCTGACTTCTTCATCTTCCACCCATCCCTGCAAATACGCTGAAGACAAACCCCCACATCACCTCCACAACCTGCCGTCCACCCTGCACCACCACCACATCAACACCACCTGCCGTCCACCCTGCACTACCACCACACCAACACCACCTGCCGTCCACCCTGCTCCACCACCACATCAACACCACCTGCCGTCCACCCTGCTCCACCACATCACCTCCACAACCTGCCGTCCACCTTGCACTACCACCACACCAACACCACCTGCCGTCCACCCTGCACAACCACCACACCAACACCACCTGCCGTCCACCCTGCTCCACCACCACACCTCCACAACCTGCTGTCCACCCTGCTCCACCACCACACCAACACCACCTGCCTACCAGCCTGCACCGCCACCACACCAACACCACCTGCCGTCCACCCTGCTCCACCACATCACCTCCACAACCTGCTGTCCACCCTGCTCCACCACCACATCAACACCACCTGCCTACCAGCCTGCACCACCACCACATCAACACAACCTGCCGTCCACCAAGCACCACCACCACATCAACACAACCTGCCGTCCACCCTGCTCCACCACCACACCTCCACAACCTGCTGTCCACCCTGCTCCACCACCACACCAACACCACCTGCCTACCAGCCTGCACCGCCACCACACCAACACCACCTGCCGTCCACCCTGCTCCACCACATCACCTCCACAACCTGCTGTCCACCCTGCTCCACCACCACATCAACACAACCTGCCGTCCACCAAGCACCACCACCACATCAACACAACCTGCCGTCCACCCTGCTCCACCACATCACCTCCACAACCTGCTGTCCACCCTGCTCCACCACCACATCAACACAACCTGCCGTCCACCCTGCACCACCACCACATCAACACAACCTGCCGTCCACCCTGCTCCACCACATCACGTCCACAACCTGCTCCACCACCACATCAACACAACCTGCCGTCCACCCTGCACCACCACCACATCAACACAACCTGCCGTCCACCCTGCACCACCAACACAACCTGCCGTCCACCCTGCACCACCACCACATCAACACAACCTGCCGTCCACCCTGCACCACCAACACAACCTGCCGTCCACCCTGCACCACCAACACCACCTGCCGTCCACCCTGCTCCACCACCACACCTCCACAACCTGCTGTCCACCCTGCTCCACCACCACACCAACACCACCTGCCTACCAGCCTGCACCACCACCACATCAACACAACCTGCCGTCCACCCTGCACCACCAACACCACCTGCCGTCCACCCTGCTCCACCACCACACCTCCACAACCTGCTGTCCACCCTGCTCCACCACCACATCAACACAAGCTGCCGTCCACCCTGCACCACCACCACATCAACACCACCTGCCACCCACACTGCACCACCACCACACCTCCACAACCGGTCGTCCACCATGGACCATCACCACACCACCTGCCGTCCACACTGCACCACATCAACACCTCCACAACCGGTCGTCCACCCTGCTACACCACCACCAAACCACCTGCCGTCTACACTGCACCACCACCACACCACCTGCCGTCCACACTGCACCACCAACACACCTCCACAACCGGTCGTCCACCCTGCTACACCACCACCACACCACCTGCCGTCCACACTACACCACCACCACACCTCCACAACCGGTCGTCCACCCTGCTACACCACCACCACACCACCTGCCGTCCACACTGCACCACCACCACACAAACACCACCTGCCACCCACACTGCACCACCACCACACTTCCACAACCGGTCGTCCACCATGGACCACCACAACACCACCTGCCGTCCACACTGCACCACATCAACACCTCCACAACCTGCCGTCCACCATGGACCACCACAACACCACCTGCCGTCCACACTGCACCACCACCACACCACCTGCCGCCCACACTGCACCACCACCACACCTTCACAACCTGCCGTCCACCCTGGACCACCACCAAACCACCTGCCGTCCACACTGCACCACCACCACATCTCCTGCCGTCCACCCTGCACCACCACCACATCAACACCACCTGCCGCCCACCCTGCACTACCACAACCACACCTCCACAACCTGCCGTCCACCCTGCACCACCACCACCACACCTCCACAACCTGCCGTCCACCCTGCACCACCAACACCACCTGCCGTCCACCCTGGACCACCACCACCACACCTCCAGAACCTGTCGTCCACCCTGCACCACCACCACCACACCTCCACAACCTGCCGTCCACCCTGCACCACCAACACCACCTGCCGTCCACCCTGCACCACCACCACCACACCTCCAGAACCTGTCTTCAACCCTGCACCACCTCCACCACCACACCTTCACACACTGCCGCCCACACCGCACCACCACAAATATATGCTTACTGCATATAACTAAACTATATAAGATATATTAAACTATAATGAACCGCAAAAGAAATGTCACTCCAAGTAACATTGCATGAAAAGTAAATAAATATCTGGGTACTTTTTGTCAAAGTTTCAAAATTTAACACTACCTTCTCCGGAAAAATATAAATTTGATGATAAAAAACAAAGCAGATGACAATAGAACCGATCGCCCAAACGCATCACGGCAACGGCCATGGTAACCCATGGTAGTTCCGTGAAAATTGAAATGCACATGCGTTCCCCCATTTCTTGCCCTATACAAATCCACCCAGATCGGATAACATTCATTCGTTTTTTAATTGCTACCACATGCCAAGATTGACAAGAAATCAGCGACGCCAAGCCCTTTGACGATTGCAAGCTGAACAAACCGCCCGGCAAGTAGCCAATGCATTTCAAGTCCACGTACGCGTAAGACCATATACAGGCTCCAGGAACGGTACCAGACCACCAACACTACAGATGACCGACCATGTAGTGGAAGACGAAGGGTCACCACCCGACGCCATGATCGTCAGATTGTGCGGCAGCATCTCCAAGATCACTTTGCTACTGCTGCTCGACAGACCATGGGGACACCAGCGACACATAAGTGCGGACACCGTGCGTCGTCGATTAACAAGCAGACACCTCCACTGTCACAGGCCACGCCGAGGACCCATTCTGACACCACGTCATCGCAAGGACCGTCTTCAGTGGGCAACACAGCACCAACATTGGCGCCACAAGCAGTGGAGAAGAGTCCTCTTCTCAGAAGAGAGCCGTTACTGTATCTCAACAGCAGATGGCAGAAGCTGGCGACGCCGTGGGAAACGTTATTCGGATGCTTGTGTTGTTGAGAGAGACTCGTGGGGTCAAAGCTCACTTGGCACGTCGCTGCAACCACGAGTTTTCAGTATGATAACGCCAATGCCCACACTGCGAGAGCAACAAGAGAGTTTCTCCAGCAGAATGACATCAGAACCACGCAGTGACCTGCCCTCAGTCCCGATTTAAACCCCATTGAGCACCTGTGGGACGAGATTCAAAGGCGGTTGAATGACATCCGACCAGGGCCGACAACTGCAGCTGAACTGCGTTAGGCGTTCCTCAGACTGTCGGCTCAAGTGCCTAAGGCCTTCATCAACTGCCTCATCAATTCCATGTATCGACGTTGCACGGCAGTCATCAATGCACATGGGCTGACACACGAGATACTGACTTGTGATGCCATTTTCTCAGAGACTAGTGTTGTGTTTCACTTTAAGAACACTTGACACAATAATTTCAACCTTGATGAGCGGTTTTGTCAAGTTTGTTGTTTTTTTAAATATCTCAAAGTACATTTACAGTGTTTGGACAAATAAAGCGTCTCATATATCTATCCATAGTGACGTTTCTTTTGCGGTTCAGTATATATTAGTGCAAAGACAATGAGGACCTGCAGAGTACCCGGAGATTTATTAATTGATTAATTGTAACTACATTCAAATGATCAAGCACGAACATCGTAGCATGTGCAGTATGTTGAATATCCATCCAGATACACGCCAGGGCATCCCGGTGCAAACCCATGACAGCAATTCCAACGTGTACAACGTTCGCCTGGACTCCGCGGTTTAAGGGAAGACGATATTGATCTCCCTCTGCATTATCGTTCGAGCCTTGGTACTAGATATATAGAACATTTACGGCATTAGGTTGATTATGCCATGTGATTCTTGTGATTATGTTGTCACAAGAAGCTCGACATTATAAGGAACATCATATATGTGATTAGCAAATTAAGACAATAAGTTACAATAACATGCATGTGGTTATTTCAATCAGTGGGTGCTGAAATGATTCGTTTCCTCAAGAACAGTTGTAGGCAGGTACCACTTCAAGCGCATTTTGTCATTGACATTTTAGAAGTTCTTATTAACTGTTTGATTCACATTTTAGATGTTCGTATTCTTCTTTCAATTATGTGTTCCTTATTTGATATATATTTCATACGCTTCACAGACAGTCGAACAAAGTCTATATGTTTCACACGCTTCACAGACAGTCGAACAAAGTCTATATGTTTCACACGCTTCACAGACAGTCGAACAAAGTCTATATGTTTCACACGCTTCACAGACAGTCAAACAAAGTCTATATGTTTCACACGCTTCACAGAAAGTCGAACATAGTCTATTTGTTTCATACGCTTCACAGACAGTCGAACAAAGTCTATATGTTTCACACGCTTCACAGACAGTCGAAGAAAGTAAATATGTTTCACACGCTTCACAGACAGTCAAACAAAGTCTATATGTTTCATACGCTTCACAGACAGTCGAACAAAGTCTATATGTTTCACACGCTTCACAGACAGTCGAACAAAGTCTATATGTTTCACACGCTTCACAGAAAGTCGAACATAGTCTATATGTTTCATACGCTTCACAGACAGTCGAACAAAGTCTATATGTTTCACACGCTTCACAGACAGTCGAAGAAAGTAAATATGTTTCACACGCTTCACAGACAGTCGAACAAAGTCTATATGTTTCATACGCTTCACAGACAGTCGAACAAAGTCTATATGTTTCACACGCTTCACAGACAGTCGAACAAAGTCTATATGTTTCACACGCTTCACAGACAGTCGAACAAAGTCTATATGTTTCACACGCTTCACAGACAGTCGAGCAAAGTCTATATGTTTCACACGCTTCACAGAGAGGCGAACAAAGTCTTTATGATTCACACGCTTCACAGACAGTCGAAGAAAGTCTATATGTTTCACACGCTTCACAGACAGTCGAACAAAGTCTATATGTTTCATTCGCTTCACAGAGAGTCGAACAAAGTCTATATGTTTCACACGCTTCACAGACAGTCGAACAAAGTCTATATGTTTCATTCGCTTCACAGAGAGTCGAACAAAGTCTATTTGTTTCACACGCTTCACAGACAGTCGAACAAAGTCTATATGTTTCACACGCTTCACAGACAGTCGAAGAAAGTCTATATGTTTCATACGCTTCACAGACAGTCGAACAAAGTCTATATGTTTCATACGCTTCACAGACAGTCGAACAAAGTCTTAATGTTTCACACGCTTCACAGAGAGTCGAACAAAGTCTACATGATTCACAAGCTTCACAGACAGTCGAACAAAGTTTATATGTTTCATACGCTTCACAGACAGTCGAAGAAAGTCTTAATGTTTCACACGCTTCACAGACAGTCGAAGAAAGTATATATGCATCACACGCTTCACAGACAGTCGAACAAAGTCTATATGTTTCACACGCTTCATAGACAGTCGAGCAAAGTCTATATGTTTCACACGCTTCACAGACAGTCGAACAAAGTCTATATGTTTCACACGCTTCACAGACAGTCGAACAAAGTCTATATGTTTCATACACTTCACAGAGAGTCGAACAAAGTCTATATGTTTCACACGCTTCACAGACAGTCGAAGAAAGTATATATGCATCACACGCTTCACAGACAGTCGAGCAAAGTCTATATGTTTCACACGCTTCACAGAGAGGCGAACAAAGTCTTTATGATTCACACGCTTCACAGACAGTCGAAGAAAGTCTATATGTTTCACACGCTTCACAGACAGTCGAACAAAGTCTTGCCAAATGATGAACGTACTTGAATCAACAAGTAGGATGCTACAATACAAATAGTATCTAAATGAGTGCAGTGGACATTGTATGGCTAAACAGTTAACCACACGAGTGAAATCAACGTGAGTAACGAACCTTAGCGTTAACCTGCACATGGTAAGATACAGCATGGTGAGATAGGAACGGTCACAACTGTGTCAGGTATACATTCACCATGCCTTCCTTCTGTGTGTAGACGACAATGTCGTTTGGGGAAAACAAACTCGCGTTCACAAAAACATTATATTTTCAAAAAATGACTGAAATGAAATGAAACTAAACTTAGACATCCTTTAAACCCAAGCTGTAATCTGTGTTTTTACAAGAACACTTCCAGACAGTGTCAGTGCTGAACCCTTGCTCATGTGCTCATATTGGAAATACTTTTGTATTACCCGTAGAATTACATGCAACTTTGTAAACACCAAAAATACGCATTGGGAAAGGTTATGAAAACTGCGCATTTGACAGCAGGAAGCGGGTATTATAGTTTGTCATGAAACAAGTTGATGCATTGTTTGTACCAATCTTACTGTATGGTACAGAATTAAAGGTTATGAAAATATATGTACGAAATACGACTTATCTCCATGACACTATTTCAACAACATCATTCAAACACACCTCAAACACATCTTCTGTACCACCAGTTTATGGCGTGGCGCTTTTAGTACATCCACGCTAACCCCTGTACAACACCTCGTCCCTGCCACCACCACGTGCACCCCCTACCTCCACCCCCACCCCCACCGGCACTTTCAGTATACACCAGCATGTATGTACATCCACGTCACGAAACTAGTGGACAGAATTCAACATATCAGGAAGACTAAAGCACTCTGTCACGCGGCCAAAGCATTCAGGGTCTCAATAATACACTAGATAAGTGAAAATTGGTTCTTCGGGGGATTTAAGGTTTTGATAAAAGCTGTCCCTGTCATGCGACATGTTGAAGCCGGCTGGCGTCATATCCATCCATTACATTCGGTGTTCCCCCGGTAGTTGCTTCCCGTGCCGCCAGCAGGCGCTGCTCATACATAAACACACCGACGTGCACACGAGCCACACTTTAGTTTCTACTGCGTATTTTCAAATGAAATATTTACCATTGTTATGTGTCACTGAATCCATTGACTCTGCTTAATCTGAGCGGCTAAATGTCTAGGTGATAATGCCCCCACTGCCTTTCCCCCGGCTACGACAATCATCTTCTGCCGTGCACTCGTCTACAAAGATACGGATACCTCAAGCAAAGCGACACGATACTTACATATATTCTCAAATTAATAAAAATTAAGATTTGAGGTCAATCTTCTTTCCACTGTGTTGTGTTATGAGTGGGGATGGTTTTATCGTAAGAAATAAATTCTTGAAAACAATAATTATACTGGGCATAGGATTGCGTAAATGTAGCGTCGGGTGGGATGACAAAGCAGGCCGTGCGGGTCTTCTCTTCCACTTCATGAACAGAACAGAACAGAACAGAACAGAACAGAACAGAACAGAACAGAAACAGATATTTATTCATGAAAAAGGCTTGAGCTTCTGCCCCTCGTCTAGCAGATACAACAAAATATATATTGACAATGGAGGTAGGACCCGATTTCATATTTACTGTCAACAGGACAGTTTGTATTTAGAAATGTATAACAGTTGTGTTTTACAACTTGTTTGTAGCAGGCTAACTTGTTTTAATTCAGATTGCCTTTCCCAATAATATTTATGCATATACTTTGATCTGTTATCTTTATATCTGAGACATATTAATAGAACATGATACTCATGTTCAAGTACGTTAACACTTCTAGCTTGACAATAATCATAATATCTAAGAGCTTTGATAATGTTGTGATATCGTCAAACTTCTATTTTTAACTTGTGACTCGGTGTTCTTGGACCACGTTGTAAAATATTGAGGCATAATTCATAACCAAAAGATACTTTTTGATTTCTATATAACATCAACTTTCTACTATTATTGAGATCTGAGTTCCATTTTTTGTATATAATTATCAAAAGGTCTTTGTTTAAGAGACAAATATCATAGGATTTACAGACAAGAGATTTAACCACACATATGTAAAACCATTTGTACACAACATATCTTTTACATACCATGCCCAATTTTTCACACCTTTATCACAATGCGGAAAACAAACATTATAAGCAGCCTGTAATATACAATAATAAGTATTATCTAATATAAACCAGTACTTTAACATTCTATAAAATGTATTTATGTAATTATGATACCGACCTAATTCTTCATATACTGCAATATTACATGCCATTGAATGTACTTTTAATACTTTCTTACATAATTTAAGATGCACCCGTTCAGGGGCGTTTACCGTACTCCATATCTCACAACCATTGAGCATTGTAGATGTAACGAAAGAATCAAATAATTGGAATAATGTTTTGGGTGTAAAATTACAATTTCTAATATTTGATAACAATACATTCATAGCTTTTACACCTTTCCCAGCTACTGTTTTGTAACACAAAGAAAATGATCCAGTACTTGTAAAAAACGTTTCCTTAGTAGCAAAACTGTTTGCCCACTTCAAACTGTTCATCATGATCATTTCCCTCTTTTACTAAATATCATTACCTTCGTTTTATCGACGTTTATGTGTGAATCCCATTCTTTACAGTAATTGTGCAAGCTACTTAATGGCATTTGGTGCCCATTTCAGATACGATAACCATATCATCAGCAAATAATATCATACATAGGTTAACCAAATCAATCAACAATCCTGTATCTATATTTTCTTGAAGTTTGAGTTCCAAAATACAAAAAAAGAGTATAGGCGACAGCCCCTCCCTTTGTTTGATTCCAGCACCAAGCTGGTAGAAAACAACTGTAGTTTGTATTAAGCCGGTAGAAAACAACAGAGTGTTGAATTAAGCTGGTACAAAACAAGAGTAGTTTGTATTAAGCTGGTAGAAAACAACAGAGGT